ATTGTCAAAAAGACCGACCGCCCGAGTTTCTCTCCGCCATCACAGTGACGAATGACCGCTCTCTGCCGTCGTGACGCCGGCGTTAGCCAGCCTGGTGTCGAGACGACTCCCACCGGGGGTGTAAGGACTGCCCCACGTGTGTCCGGCAGGCCTCCTAGCGGACGAGGGGGGTCAAGTGTTTGCCTGGCACTCGTTGATTCCGTACCTGAAGCCGGCGGACGCGCCGGCCGGCGAGGAGGGTCCGCCGGCCGACCGGCAGCCGCCGCCCTCCTCCGGCGGCCACGGCGGCCACGGCAGCAACCACCGCAACGGCCACGGCCACGGCCACGGCCAGCAGGTGAGGTGCCGCCCGTCGGCAGGCTGCGCGGCCGGGGACGCCGGCCGTCTCAGGGCTGGTTGTCTCACGTGCCGAACGGGCTGCTGCCGGTCGGCGGCACGACCGGCCGGTGATGCGGCGGCGGCAGGTGCTGCCGGCGGAGGGCGGATGTCGTCTCGGCGCCACCGGTGCCTCAGGCGAGCCGCGCGCGGTCGCCGGTGGGGGCACTCTCTCGCCGGCCTCGCGGCTGCTGTCGCACGCGTGACTCGTAGCTGCGCGTCGCCGCTGTCGCCTGGCTGCTGGCGCTGCGCCCTGAGGTCGCCGCGTACTGCTGACGTTCGCCGCCGCCGCGGTGTGGTCGCCACTGCTCTGGTGTGACCTGAGGTGGCAGGCTGGCGTGGCGGTGCCCGGTGTGATGGGAACGCGACCGTTTCAGAGCGGTGGCGTGTCGGAAGGCCGGGACAACGGCAGCGGGTCGCCGGCGCCACCGGCTGACGGACCGGTCGGATCGCCCCAGGCCGCAGAGCATGCGCAGGTACAGCCGGCCGGCGGAGGCGCCGCCCTCACAGCGTCCCTCCCTCTGCCTACCACTCGCTCTCCGCTGCAGACGACTGTTCCACGCGGCCAGAGCCGCCGGACCGCTCAGGCCCGGGGCCGAAGGCGATGATGACACGGGAACACAGCGGCGGCGGAGGGAGGGCGGCAACGGGGGGAAGAGCGGCGACGGAGGGAGAGCGGCGACGGGGGGAGAGCGGCGACGGGGGGAGAGCGGCGACGGAGGGAGAGCGGCGACGGGGGGAGAGCGGCGACGGAGGGAGAGCGGTGGCGCGGCGGACTCGTTTCAGAATGCTGCTTGCGTGTAAGCTCTGCTGCCACTGCAATGCTTCGCAGTGTGGCATTGCGCCAGGGGGATCTTACTCTTGATCAGCGTACAGCGCTCTGCGCGAGCTTACGAAGTCGGCTGAGCGTGGTTGGATGCACACTAGCAATGGGATCGCTGCGCCGGTGAGGGCTGTTTGGCCACCAGATGGCTCACGTGCGGAAGTGGGCGCGCTGTCCGGACGATGGCAGTCGGTTGGTCGCAAGCCCAAAGCAGTCAGCCAAATTCGAAAAAGTCGAGTTGAGGGTCCAGTCGAGGGCACAGGCAGGACTGGCCGTTCGCAGAGTTGCGTTAGGTGGTCGCCGACGCGCCGCCTCACGGCTCCGTCTGCGACCGCCGGGCCCACGCCACTGCCACGTGTCGGGCCGCAGCAGAAGAACCTGTTCGTTCATCGGTTTCTGTTCCCAGAAAGGTCCGTTTCTTCCAATCACGGGTCTTGCCGCCCAACTGGTGTCCTTGTGCCGTCTTCAGCGTTTTTGTGTGTCCTTGGGCCACCTTTCTACACTACAACACACGGCTGGCCGGCGGCCGTCTCCATGTTAGCGAGACTCTCCATTGCCTTTTGTGACCGGCCCACCGGCGCGCCACAGCCGGCTCTGGAACAGCCGGTTGTCGGGAGTGGCGGGGGAGGGGGGGGGGGGGGGGGGGCGAGGCAAGTCCGAGAACTCCAAGAGTGTAATATTTACACTGCAGAAGGTGCACTTCTGGGCTGGTTATTCGATGGACCATATTGGATAGAGTGGGCCATCCGAAAATGGAGGCGTCTGGTTTTACTTGGGGAGACAAAATATTCCGCTGAGGATATTTTTTGCTGTAAGAGAGAGCGGGAAGGGGGGCCACCATAAACTTCACACGGTGTAAACGGAGGCTGTGTGACACACGTTTGGAGATAGGGAGTTGATTGCTGGACAGGGCACGACGGTTCGTATCATCTCTCTATCATGGCAGAAATCGGTCGGGAGGACGTTGCCACTCCTCACACGGAACCGGGAACACGGAACCACATTCCACCGCCTGCCCGTTACGGTTGGCGCCACCAGTTAGGCTCGTCCGAGCTTTGTCAACGGCACAGCCTAAACGAAGTACGCGAAATATCGTCCAAACGTGGTGCCGGACGCTCGACGCTTTACGAAAATCGCGTACTTGGCCCGTGATAGCCTGGCTGGCTGGCAGTCTCATCGCCAACGTGGCGGCGTGGAAGGGTCGCTGTGGGGAACTGTTGACAGCCGGCACGGTCGGCTTGGATGGGCTCGTATTTCTGACGGAGCGCAGCGTTAAAGGCCCAGCGTTGCGGACCGCTAACAACGCCCCAGTCCAGACGGCCTGCGACACTGGACAGCTGGCTGGGCTCGGCCTGTGGAGCAGGCTGTTTGATGCCGCTTAGTTGAACGTGACATTCGTTGATGACGAGGTTATGTCTGAGCTGCCGAATTAGCGGCGATTGGAACGTGCTATCCGTTTGGTGTGGCAACGTATGGCTGCACATAATTCATACTCGTCTGTTATATTCTCATGATTGCCTAACAATGCGTTTTGATGCCTACGCCATCCGCGTTGCATTCTGCAGCCAGGGCTGAAGCCGGCGCAGCGAGGGCGCGGGAATGGTTGTCATTCACTTCAAGGGGAAAATGGCGAAGCTATGACCATTGCAATGCAGCCTGATGTGGCCGCTGCCGTACTTACCTAACCGCATTCTCCGTCTCTGTCGATAATGGCGATTGTGGCCGATGCACAGACACAAAACTGGTCGTGACGGCTAGTGTACACCGTGGCTGGTCCCGTTTGGTCATCTGCCGGTCCCACCTCATCCCCCGCCCTGTCCCCCGCCCCGTCCCGCGCCCCGTCCCCCGCCCTGTCCGCCTATAGCGGCGGCTGTATCGCCGGCTCTATATGGAGGCGACTCTGTCGGGATTCGAGGCTGCCGTGATTCAGCGGTGTAGAGGCCGTCGGAACGGCGCCATTCATCGGTCGGCCGTGTGCGCTCACCAGCACCGGCGGCGCGCCGGCCTGGACGGTACCGCCGTCCAGGGGCCAGACAGCGCCGCTCGTGACCGCGACCACCATGGCCCGCCGGCTGACCTCCGCCCTGCTCCTCCTTGGGACTGGCTGAGCTTGGACAGTCGTACCCGTGACCCGTGTGACCCGTATGACCTTTGTGACCTGTGTGACCTGTGTGACATGTGTGACCTATGTGACCTGTGTGACATGTGTGAAGTGTGTGACCTGTGTGACCTTTGTGACCCGCGTGACTTTTGTGACCCGCGTGACCTGTGTGACCTGTGTGGCCTGTGTGATGTGTGACCTGTGTGACCTGCGTGACTTATGTGACCTCACCCATAGGAGGAGCCGGACGCGGCGGACGTGGACGACGACGATGACGTGTTCGCCAGCGACGCCGAGCCGATGACGCCCATCGAGAAGACGCCGCGCACCGCCAGCCTGGGGTCGGCCAGCCGCGAGGAGGGCAAAGTCTCGGCCAAGACGGTACGAACGCCGCTCGCCGGCGCGTGGTCCGCGCCCGGCGCTGACCGCCCTGCAACGAGAGCCGCCGCTGGTGGGCGCCGGCCTGTTTGTACGCTGGGCTCCCGGCGCTGGGGTCTGGCGCGGCTCGCTATTTTAGGGTGGCTGGTTGCGGCGATTGCCACGTGGCATGGACTGGCGCACTCTGGAATGTATCGAGCGCACACGAGGGCTCGTGACGCCGGGCTAGGCTTAGAGTTGGGCGTGCTGCTGGAGGGATGAGAGCGTCGCAGCTGGCAGAGCGTGATACTCGGGCTTTGGGTTCGATTCTCGCACATTGCGCACATTTTTCACTGCCCACTGCGACGGCGGACGGGAGAGGTCAGGGTCTATAAGTGACTGCAGATACAGTTGTGCGAACTTCGGAGTGGATATGCAGTTATAGTCACTGGGACATCAGTCACACTTGTGTTTAGCAGTTGCAGACGTAATTATCGGTCATTACCCTAATGGCCATTTCGGTGAACGACGCCGGGCGACGGAGACGACGTTTACCCTGGCTGCCGGACGGACACGGTCCAGGCGTGCAGCTTCGGCTAACGGCGCCGGGGAAGGGGTGGCTGGTGCTCGCGGCTCGGGTGGACTCGCAGCGAGCTGGCGAGTTGCCGCCTCGGGACCGGAGTTAGTTTATTCGCCGCACGCTATCGGCCCGAGCGGCGTCGTCAGCACGCGCGGCAGTGTACGCGGCTGGATCTCGTCAGCTCCGTATTTGTGCTGGACAGGGTGATAAGCTGACCGCCAAGCGGCCTCAGGATCGCCCCGACGGGCTGTCTCTTACGGCGGCCGCGATGGAAGCGTGCAGTGGTCGACCCGGTGGATTTTATGTCCACGTCGCGGCACGATAATCTGGCGCCGCAGCACATTGGTGAAAGTCGAACGGTTTTACGGCGTACCGGCGTTACATTCTGCTCAGCCGTCATGCGTCGCACTGTGTCCACTAGCATCCGTTCTCGGGTTTGTCGGCAGGGCAAACAGGTGATACGGCGGCCGATGAACGCTTTCATGATCTTCTCCAAGAGGCACCGGGCACTGGTGCATCAGTCACACCCGAACCAGGACAACCGCACCGTCAGCAAAATTCTGGGAGAGTGGTGGTACGCCCTCAAGCTGGAGGAGAAGCAGAAGTACCAGGATCTGGCTCATCAGGTACGGTACAGGTGTAAGGTTTTAGGCTCTGCTTAATGTTCAGCAGGTTACATCTGTAATGTGTTTTACCATCAAATACTGAACCATGCTCCCGATGTGTTGCTCCTTGAGCTGTGCTTGATGTTTCTTTTTAGTGTCTGTGCCTTGTTTCAAAAGGGAACGAAACTTTGCCCGTGCAACTCTATGCGCCTGCTTTTCCGTCAATGTGACCTGTATTGCTACTGAGACGAGGGGGTTCGAGGAGGCGGGCCTCATCGTCGTGCCGGCCGACAGGTGAAGGAGGCGCACTTCAAGGCACATCCGGAATGGAAGTGGTGCAGCAAGGACCGTAGGAAGTCTTCCAGCAGCTCTCTGAAGGCCGAGCCGGCCAGCGCCGCCCCCTCGCACACCGGTCCGACGCCGGCGGCGGCGGCAGCGGCGGCGGCGGCGGCGGTAGCAGCGACGGCGGCGGCGGCGGCGGCAGCGGCAGCGGCGGCGACGGCGACGAGGCGCGAGTCAACCGACGACCGGCGCCGGCGCGACTCGACGGTCGAATCGGACGAGGAGCGCATGGTGATCTGCGAGGACACGGCCGACCTGGACCTGCTCTGCAAGGAGAACGTGGCCGACACGGACGAGAGTGACGCCGAGGGGCGGCCGGCCGCGGCTCCGGCCGCCGCCGTGCGGCCCAAGCCGATCAAGGCGCGCCCGTCGGTCAGCGCCGAGGTGCCGCTCTATAGTCCGGGGCCGGGCCGCGCCGGCGCCCCCGGCGGCTTCCAACCGACCGGTGGCGCGTTCAAGTCGATGTCGCCGGGTCCGCGGCCGGTCAGCCCGGGGCCGCGCGAGCCGACGCGGCCGGCCCCGACCCACTACGCCATCCTGAACACAGTGCCGCGACTGAACCAGGCGGCTGGCGCCGGCGGCGGCGCGCTGCTCACCAACCTGGTGCTCAAGACGGCGTCGGGCGCCGCCGGCGGTGCCGCCGGCCAGGTCATCCTGGCGTCGCCGCAGGCCGGTCAGCAGGTCAGTGGTGGGCTGAGGACATGCTCCTGGGAGCGGTGCGGCTGCCGTGGCGACCAGACCACTCAGCGGACGCACCTCTGGCGCGTGGTGCGCTCTGGATGGGGTGACGCTTGTTTAAGGCGACAGTTCGTGGCCCTCCGCCTTGGCCGGGGCAGGCTAGGCGGCAGGTGGAACAGGCGGTTGTGGGCCATGGCATGACGCGTGTGATAGCCGTATCTCCTCCGTGGTTTGGCCGCCAGAATGCTGTCAACTGGACTGTTCGCTATCTTGCAAGTGGCCCGTTTGGTAGGAGCGGACTTGCAGGCTGCTCGGTAACACCAGCTCGTCAGAGGCCGTCTGTTCGCCTCATGGTGGCCAGGCCGAGGCAGGCTCCGCCCCGCGTGACCCGGCTGACCTCTCGGCGGCCGCAGGCGATCCTGACTCCCGGCTCCAAGGGCGCGGGCGGCCAGCCGCTGCAGTACCTGGTCTCATCGCTGGCCCTGCAGACGCCGGACGGGAAGCTGCAGAACGTGCTGCTCTCAAGCAGCGGGCTCCAGCTCAGCCTGGCATGTGGGTACCACCGGCTGGGGCACGCGCTCCTCGGCTGCCCGTCCGTCGGGCCCCTCAGCCCTCCGCCCTGAGCGCTACGTATAGTGTAGCGCTCAGGTATAGTGCTCATGCAGTGTCTTCCGTTTGTTTTTGGTGTCATGGCAGCCTCGTCGTTGTAGTGGACGTGCTGGTGTTGGCAACTCATCGCGGTTAGGTAGTGCTGGGCCAGCCGCTGGTAGAACGAGCGAACGCTCTCAGAGTGTCATCTACACCAATGCCTCAGTATCGCGCGCTGTTTGTTGGGAAAACTTTCCATCTTGTGCACACCTTGGTCGGCGCAACTCAGCGACTTGCGCTGGTGCGCTGCGCAGTCGGACGGTGTTTCGTGGTGCCGTCGTGCGGATGTGTGGCTCCTCGCCCAGTGGCGTGCGGGCGTCGATGGTCTGACCCGACGTCTCTCGTGCGCAGCGTCCGGTGCGGCCTCCTCCAAGGTGGCCGACAACGGCCATGTCACGACGCCAGGTGCCATCTGTCTGGTGACGTCATCCTCGTTGACGTCACCAGCGGTGACGCCAGGCCGGCCGTCGGACGGCTCGAGCTCCCGCCACTCTCGGTGAGGCGCTGGCGGGCGCGCGGATGCTGCAGAACGCTTCACAAGAACGCCATTACGTTGGGAAGGAACAATTTGAGCAAGTGCTTCTATCCTCAAGACGTCGGTTGTCCCCTCCCGTTCCCCCACCGCTGGACATCCCCGTACACAATGACCTGGCCGTTTGGGAGTTCAAATTATCAATCATCGCCATGGTTTCTTCGATGTTCTTTACGGTGCGGACGGATGAGTGTGCAGTATACGTGCGTGCGGCACTGTACTCCTGTATGTCGCGAGTTTTCGCACGTCCGTACTTCTGGATGAGTGAGGTTCAATTATGCCGCGCTGTGCTATCCCCCGTCTCCAGCAGCGTGTGGTGCGGCTGGCGCCCGCGGCCTGTGCCGCCGCTCCACACCCGGTCCGGCCCGTCACGGAGCTCTCCGCCGGCAGGGTCTCGGTGGTGGCAGCACTGTCGCGTTCGGCGTCCTCGGAGGCGACGTCCGGAGCGCAGCCGGCGAGCGGCGCTGCGGCGGACGCCGCGCAGCTCACCTCTGACCAGGTACGACCTCCAGAGGAGGGGGACGGTGGGGCAGGCTCGTCAAGCGAAGGGGCTGGGGTGGACGCCGCGCAGCTCACCTCTGACCAGGTACGACCTCCAGAGGAGGGGGACGGTGGGGCAGGCTCGTCAAGCGAAGGGGCTGGGGTGGACGCCGCGCAGCTCACCTCTGACCAGGTACGACCTCGAGAGGAGGGGGGCGGCGGGGCAGGCTCGTCCAGCGATGGGGTTGGGGTGGTGAGCTGGTGTTCGTAGGCTGGCGGGGCTGCGAGCCGTCTGTCTCGGAAGTTATCACGAGGGAACAGGGACGCGAGGCAGCGAGCGCTTTTGTTGTGAGGTAGTCTCTAACACGCACCGCTCCTGTGCCTGCGCCGTTCCCATGCCGTGCTGATAGGCACCGCCCCATCCAAGGAGTAGTGCCCGTCTTAGGGCAGCCCCTCTGCGGTGCCGTCTCCTCCCCATCCAAGGAGTAGTGCCCGTCTTAGGGCAGCCCCTCTGCGGTGCCGTCTCCTCCCCATCCAAGGAGCAGTGCCCGTCTCGGGGCAGCCCCTCTGCGGTGCCGTCTCCTCCCCATCCAAGGAGTAGTGCCCGTCTCGGGGCAGCCCCTCTGCGGTGCCGTCTCCTCCCCATCCAAGGAGTAGTGTCCGTCTTTGGGCAGCCCCTCTGCGGTGCGGTCTCCTCCCCATCCAAGGAGTAGCGCCCGTCTTGGGGCTGCCCCTCTGCGGTGCCGTCTCCTACCGCGCCCGTACCCACGCTGACCGCGTGGCCGCGCTGCTGCCTGCGCCCGCACTGAGGAGCGGCGTACGAGCCTCAGCGGCTGCCCGTGCTGCGAGACACTCCCCTGACCGTGCTGGCGTGGCGGCGCCGGTGCTAACGGCGGCCGCCGCGCCCCAGGAGCGGATGCCGGCGCCGGAGCCGCCCTCCAGCGGCTCGGCGTTCGTGCTGGCGCCGACGCCAGCGCAGCTCGGGCAGGCGCCCCTGCAGCGGCGCCTGCACAGCAGTGGCGGCAGCAGCAGCGGCGGCGGCGGCAGCGGCGGCGGCGAGTCGGGCGGCGCGTCGCCGGCCGTCTACCAGACGACGGGCGCGCCGCCCGGCGCCGCCGTCGCCGCCGCCAAACGCAGCCCCGACCAGATGGACAAGTGAGTGGCCGGCTGGGGACGGCCGCCAGGGACGGACAGACTGGCGCCAAGAGGTTCAGACAATTGCGAGGTGTTCTGCGTGGCTGCACATTCAGGTAGCTCAATGTGTAGCCACGGCGTCTCCACTGGCGACAAGTTGACGTGTTCACGTGTGTTCCACACATGCAACACATGTTGTCCCCCATGTGTTGCTTTTTATATATTAATGCGCAGACATGTTTGTGGGAGAAGCACTGCGTCGTGTGCTGGCGCTCCAAAGAGGCGTGCATGTGTAACCGGAGCCGCGTTCTGCTCGGCAGAGTGCTGGAGCAGGTAAACTTCTCGGAGAAGTTCACCCGTCTGCCGCAGTTCCGGCCGGGCGAGATACCGTCGCCGTCGGCGCTCAGTCCGCGGGTGGCGCAGACGCAGCGGCGCCGACGTACGTGGCCGCTGCTGCACCGCGGAGAGGGGTGGGCGAAGGGGGGGGGGTGTCGACCCCGGCGGGCGGGGCTCGTCTTCGCGACGGCGGGGTCGTTACTAGCAAGGCTGACGCTGAGTGGGACGCGGTTGAATCGCAGGAACGTCACATCACTCCGGGCGAGATGTCTGGTTGCCTTTGTGTTGGTCTAAGCTGTCCAAAAATGTCGGGCTGCTCTTGTTGCTTTGTTCATGGTCACACCCCTGACCATGTCCTTGCAATCTGCGGCGATCGCATTCCATTGTTTTCTATGTTTTCAACTCCCCCGTCCGTGACTTCCGCGGCTTGCCCGCCGCTTTGTGCGCGTTGCCTTGCACGTGGGTGTGCCCCGGAGGTTTCCCACCCCTGCCGTACCCCGCCCCTCCCCTCCCCATCCCGTCCCTTCTGACAGATCGCCCACCGGGTGAGCTCGCTCTGTGCTGTGTGGTGCGCCCGAGAGCCGGCCCGCTGACAGCAGGCCTGCCGTGGCCAGGTGCCGACGAGAGCGGCTCTGAGGTGGACACGCCCGGTGTGGGTGGCACGCCCCGCGGCACCAACACGCCCCTGTCGGCCAGCCTTCAGGGCGGCCGCTTCTTCGGGCCCGACTTCTGCTCCGAGAAAATCAAAGGTGGGCACGCCGTTGAAAAGGCACACACGCCACCTTAGTCATATGCTACATCTGGCCAATCCGTGAATGAATGCGTCGCGCATTTCGATCAGGGCCTGATTATTTGTTGTATTGTTTTATTTGTTAATTATTGTTTTGTTGATTTGCTATATTTTATTATTTGCTCATCATACTTTATTAGCTATTCCACTGTATTGTATTATTTAGCTGTTATATTTTGTTATCTATTCTGTTTATCATGTAGTTGGCGTCGTGTCCCGGGAGGTATGTTTGGACTTGAGCACGAGTGTCGTCGCATGGCCACTCGGGCGTGCGATGGGCGCTCGCGGGCCGGCCACGGGTACCAGCCTCTGTACCAGCCTCTGTACCAGCCTCTGTACCAGCCTCCGGTCACAGGGCAACAGTGGCAGCTCTGACATCGCTGGCAGGCCCGGCCATATCTGCACTGGGCACAACGGCGTGCGCGCCGAGTCCGATGTCATATGATCCCACCTGAACCCGTGACCCGACTGGACCCCATGACCCCGTGACCCCACCCACTCCCGTGACCCTATGACCCCGTCTGACCCGGCGACCCATGCGCCACCTCAGAGCTGAGCGAGTCGGGCGAGTTCTCGCCGTCGACGGCGGGCAGGTCGCCGCGTACCCCGCGTACACCCGGCGCCGACAAGTCCGGCTCGCTGCGTCGCATCCTGGACCAGCGGCGCAGTCTGGTGCTGCAGCTGTTCCAGGAGCAGGGCTTCTACCCGTCCAGTGAGTGGGTCCCCGGCCGGCCGGGCGCTGCCGCCAGGTGGCCGTGCCGGCGGGGAGTCGGATCGGTTTTGCTGTCGCAGCCCTGAGCCACTGTCTGCTAACCGAATGTATCTGAATGTCTATTCGCAGCTTGTTATGCGTCGTGATTTGATTTATAGTTTACAGATCGGTGGACTGTTTGACGGTTCTATTCCGTGCTCGTGACAGCTATTTTTCTTTAAGGAAATGGATGCAGTTGCGTGGTGTATGAAGTTTTTTTGCTCCTATGACCTCCAGGCAATATGTTAGCAATGTCATGCCCAACCATTCATCGGCGTTAAAACAGCAATGGTAATTATTAGCACCGAGTGCAGTTATTTCCCACCTGTTGTTTTTTCGACTCCACTGAATGCGTTTGGCTTGACCGATTTTAAATTGCGCTGGACGTTAAGATACATTGCCGTTAAAAATTCAAATATGCTACGATTGAATGTGACAGCGGATAGGTTCCAGCTAATCCTCTGCGTCTTCCTTTTTTCCAGGTCAAGCCATTACTACCTTTCAGAATACCCATGCAAACTTGTTCCCCAACAAACAGATGCTGATCTTGAAGATACGCGAGGTTCGACAGCGGCTGATGCAGAACGTGGCGCAGGTGGGGCTCTGATCTAGTGGAGCATGCTAATCGAAGCGCAGCGATATCAGACGCGCGAACGATTCAGTCAGAACGTGACACATGCTTGCACCCTGACGTGCGTGCCTTTTCGTGCACGTTTGTTGCAGACACGCGCGTGCGTGTGCGTATGTTAAATGACAAGATTAATGCGTGTGAGCATTTCTGGTATTTGAATGCCGTCTGATGCGACGAACCAGGATCTCGGCGCCGTTTTCGGGCGGCACTACCGGGGTTGGATTAGTCTGTCTTTCTGTTGTGATGCGCGAGGCCGCGTGCTGGTGGGTGGTGAGGGGACCTGACATGCACCTCCCCCGTTGCAGGAGAGCGCCACTTCCCAGTCGGTGGAGACAACCGGTTGACGGCAACACCGCGGTGGCGCCGGCTGCGACCTGCCAACAGTAGCGCCGTCGATAGCGGAGTGTTTGCCGACGGTGGCGCCGTCTATAACTGACTGACGGCGCCGTGTGCCTGCCGTGTAGCCATCGGTGGCGTGGCGCCTCTGGTGGCAAGCACGTTGCGCCACCACGCCCCGGCAGCGGCGTCTGCCGGCCCGGGCATTGACAAGCGAGTACCTGACGAGCGGGAGAACCGTCCGCGGACCCTGCCGGGCGTTCGCGGGCCCACCAGCGATGTCACCTGCGCGCGCGCTCTTCACTTCTGCGACGCTTTTCACTAGCGGACTGGGAGCCGTGCGCTGTTTTAGTTTGGTCACTGACGCGTTTGGCACGGCCGGACGTGCGCGGACTCGAGGCGGCCCTGTGTCACAAGACGGCCGGCGGGGCGGCGCCGCCGTGCCCTGGCGACAGCGGGAGCGAGCGGTGGCGCGGTACCGCAGCCTCCCCGCTCGCCAGGCGTCCTCCGGCTGTGGAAAGAGGGCCCAGAGAGGCCCGATGGTGGCTTGGAAGAATAGGCGGTGGATACGGCGGATACGGCCGGATGTTCTTTATATGGAAAAGGAAAACTTTCTCTAAGCTTTATCTGTCAAGTGGCATCTTAGATGCGTTCTACCGTGGTTGCGACGGCAGCTTTTATTGGGCACAGTATTGCGTTGTAATATTGTTTTGAATGTTGCCATACAATGCCAACAGCAGGGCGGAGCGGCCGTAGAGGGCCGCCGCCCTGTCCGTGTGTCATCTCCGTTTTGAAGGGGCCTCGTGACGCGTTACGAGCGAACCGGGACAGGGGGAGCGGGGAGGATTGCAGTACTGGGACAGGGACGGGGACGTGAACCGGGACGAGACCGGGACTGAGACTGAGACCGAGGCCGGGGAACTGGGACCGGTGGACCGGGATCGGGACCGGGATCGGGACCGGGATCGGGACCGGAGGGAGCGGGGAGGGCGGTGGAACCGCGCGGCAGCCGGCAATCAGCGGGGCCGCGACTCGTCTAACTTATGACTATTTATCGTGGGATAAAACCAAACCAAAGCTGAGATCTTCCTGTGACGGGCGGGCGGCCGTGGGTGGTTGGCCGAGCTGGGCGGCCGGTGCCGGGCAGCGCCCTCTGATGACCGCGGTGCGCCGGGCCGGGCGGGCGAGCCGCTGCCGCCCGGGGGTGGGGGGGGGGGGGGGGGGGGGGAGGCGGGGGCAGGTGTGCCAGGCAGCGCTCACCACACGCGGGACTGGCCGGGGGTCGACTCGGGAGACGGCGGCGCCGGTTGCATCCGGCCGGCGTGTCAAATGTCGATATTGGCTGTACATATGTCCAAGCGCGTGCGCATGCGCACAGCGACACGTAGACACCACACACATAGCGAGTATTTGTACACGCACAGACACACAAACACATGCTGTGGATGTGTGTGTGCGACTCTGCGAGAGAGCGGGTTGTGATGGCAACGAGAGTCAGAGCGGGAGAGAGAGAGAGAGAGAGCGCGCGGGAGTGAGAGAACCCAGGACAACGAGTGAAGACATGGACATCCCATACACGACTCTGCGTCATGTTACTTGTTAAAGAAGCGCGGTGACATATGTAGATTGTTAATGTAAATATGAATGTTCCGCGACAATAAAACTATTTAAATGGCGCCGTCGTTTTAAGCGAGAGCTAGAGCAAGAGAGAGAGAGAGAGAGAGAGAGAGAGAGAGGGGGGGGGGGGGGGGAGAGCAAAACTCGTTAATACGAGCTCGCTTTGGACTTTGGGTTTTTCGAAGTCACGTGGCCACCGGCGCCATGCGCTGTCGGAGACCACCACCGCCTGAGTCTGCGCCCGTGCTGTGAACTCGGCGGAAAAGTCCTGCTTGATAACAACATGGAAGCCGTCTTTCCTTTGATTTTAGTTTACTACACACCCTTTGTTTGATTTCGTTATTCTCGTCCATATATGAGTTGAAGCGAAGCGTCCACGCTCTGGATACGCTCGCGGCTTTGTTAGCCAATGCTCGCAAGATCCAGTGGTGGTTGTTTTCGACCCGGCTTCATACGTAGCTGTTGGTGCGGTCGTGGTACAAGGTTGACGCGGGAGCTCGAGCTGCCTCTGTCCTCGTCTGTTTACGCTCGCACGGGTATGGAGATCTGTTCAACGTTAGTATTACGCAGCACAGACTGGGTGAGACGCGCACATTGAAGGCTGGGAGGAACTCCACGCCAAAAATGCGCGGTATTATCTCGAGCTGATAATGCTCATATCCTGTTAATTACGCTGATGCTGCTGATATATGTCATATTATAATGAAGCTTCCAGAACCCGTTCTCAACATCCTTGTGATAGTGATCAGACATTGTTGAGATCGCAAGACAAATTTTGAACTCCATATCGAGAGCAGCAGCGTTCGGGGGAAGGCTTCCGATTGCGGTGTGCCGGGCTGCAGAGTGCCCTGCCCGGCGTGCCGGGTCCGGCGCTACCGCGTCAATGTTCAGCTGAGGCGACAGAATCGATCGCCGGATTGTCAGCTCGTCTCAGTGACAGATCCTCCGCGCGAGCGCTGACACTGCTGCCGGCAGGGCCGCTTCCTGCCGACCGACCCGCTAGCCCGCCAGCGGCCGGCGCCCGGTGCCCGGTGGGCACGGTGACAAAAGTGGCGCGTCGGCCGACGCAGCGGCGGTGCCACGACGTCATCGATCGGACGCTATCCGCTCGCGGGCAGCTTGCCAGCGGCGCAGAGCCCGCTGCGCCGGAAGGACTCACCGGCCACCTGTTCACGTCAGGGTACGTCCCACCTGGCGCCGCCTCTGGCGCGGCCGACCTCCGTAAACATACGCTAGGGCTCCCCTGGCTGTGCACAGGCGGCGCCGAGCGGTTGCCAACGGACGCAGTGGTTCGGGACTCGTCCGAGCGGTGAGTTGAGGGGCGGACGGCGGTTCGTGGTGGATGGAGAACGGTGTGTAGTTTTCTTCGTGTGACAAAGTCCTACTGGAAGTTCGCATCACGTGGTCTGGCCGTGGCGTCACTGGGCTAATTTTAGGCTGGGTAAACATAATTCATGCTTGAGGCCGGCAAAAATCATGCCGAGGTGGAAAATTTGCGACTTCCTTTCCCTCAGATTTCAGAAAAGCCTCAGATTTAGTTTTTGCCGCAGGGGGAGGTAGACCACGCAGCGGGGGCTATGGCTCGGAGCGTGGCTAGTTGCTAGATTAGTAGCGTGGCTAGTAGGGTTGCGGATGTGAGTTGCTAATCAGGCTAGTCGTAAGCTGTTGCAGCCAATCGCACATAAGTCTGCTAAAAATAGAACTGCAAACACAACAAAATCACCTGCCGACGCTCATACAATCTTTCAACTTGACCTGGATAGTGGACAGGTGGTGGACAGAGGCTAAATGGGGCCTGGTCTGGATAGTGGACAGGGGCTGACTGGAGCCTGGTCTGGATAGTGGACAGGGGCTGACTGGAGCCTGGTCTGGATAGTGGACATG